AAAAAAAAAAAAAAAAAGAAGACAGAAAATTAAAAGTTACCTGGGCATAACGCAATAGCTTCTCTGTGCCATCTGGGTCTTTATTCCAGATAAGATTTTCACACAAAGTTAGAAGATCCTTAGGGATATCGTCATATACTGGAAGATTCCCTGCATTCACTATTCCCATGTCCATGCCATACTGAAAGAAACCCCCAGATTTTTATGAATAAAAGACCACAAGACTGCAGAGCACAAGTAACACCAACAGAAAGCACATACCTTAATTGCATGATAAAGGAAAACTCCATGCATTGCTTCTCGAATGGCATCCATCCCCCGAAAGGAGAAGGACAGATTGGAAAGGCCTCCACTAACTCTGGCTCCCGGCAATGTTTCCTAGCAACAGAACGAAAACTTCAGCAAGCTCAAAATTTACCAAAACAGTTTTCAAAGAGAGGGCACAAATTATACACCAAGCACTGTGCACTTGGGTTGCTGAGTGCCAGAAATTCATGGGACAACAATAATTCAGTTTCTCTCATTGGTTCAAGTCACTTCCACAGTTAACCAGACTCCTCCACACAGTTAAGAAACTAAGGCTCTTTCTACACATGCAGGTAAAGGCACAACGGGATGTAATAGCTGAGCAATCTACACAATCGCACCTCCGTCCATGCCACACGTGCATGGCAGATGTGATTGTGGGATTCTGAATTAGATCCCATTGCACCTGATTGCTGGTGCAAGAGGAACCCAATCCTGGCTTCACCCTGCACCAGCAAGAAGCAAGTTCCCATATCCGGGAACCCCCTCAGCTGGGAGCTCCCAGGCTCAGGGGTAAACATGGGCCCCCACACCTGGGAGTTCCAATCAGCTGACAAGAGCCAGGTTACATGTGTAAATTAAAGCTGGATAGAAACCAGCTATAAAAGTTATTACATATTTTCTAGCAATAACTTTATAGCTGGTTGGCCTTTTCTAAGATGCCAAAGTTAATATGCACATGTAGCCAGTCTAAATTAATTGTGCAATTAACCAGGCAACTGCATACATAATACATGCAATGAGTAGAGGGGGCCTCAGAGTCAGCCTAGGTGCACACAGGCAAAGCTTCCCAAGAAGTCTACAAAAAAAGACAGGTACTACAGTGAACGAGTGACTGGAAAAAGAAGGAGACTTTAAAGCAAATGGGAACGGAGCTGCTGTAATAGACGGCTGGCCTTTTGAGATGGGGCTCACACTCTGAAAAAAGTTTAACAGCTTCTGCTTTACAACAAAAAGGAGAAAAAATAAATTGGCTAAAACGCAGTAAAGAAGGATCCAACATGCAAACACCTTAAGATGGAGTTTGAGCTGTTTACCACAGACATGAGACAGTGGCCTGCAACAGCAGGGAGCTAGTCTCAGACTCCAAACGTGCCTGCCAATCCTATGTTTTGGCAAAGTCCCAATTCAACATTTGCCCCCCAGCTTTTTTTTTTTTTTTTTTTTTTTTTTTTTAAAAAA